CCATCTTCAAAAAAGGGAGAAAGGAGGACCCGGGAAACCTAAGGTGACTAAGGATCTAAGGAGCAACAACTGCATGCAGAGATTGCCTTGTATCCTTATCCAAGTTAGTGGCTTGATCCAAATGGCCATAAAATTGAAAATCTCCCTTGACTGCAGTGTGCATTTTTTAATGCAGGCTGCCAGGAAAAAAAGGGTAAAATCAGAATTCTTTTCTGCAAGCCAAACTTTGGCATCCTTTTGAAAATGTCTTGACCTATTTTCTTAATTTTTCTTGAGTGCCTTCATTTACCCGTTACTTTTTTTGCTGCATGGAGTTCTTGGGGACAGTTCAGCTTGCTACTGAAATCGGACCATTTCCCAGGCTGGGTCCCAGGCACTAGTACAGTGGGCGCAGCGTTTGGGTGTCACAGTCCAGGCAAACCACATTTTTGCTGGAATTGCCTACAAGGCTCTTGAAAGCAGATCATTCAAGTGACTGTTTGGGGCCTACACGAACAATAACTGTTCAAGACAAAAATGTTCTTAAGGATGTGCTTCTAGTGGTCATAAAAAGTCTGTATTGTACCATGTAGCTGTTCACTAGGCAGTTAATTTAGCGTCAACTTTTAATGGCATGGAAGGTGGGCACGTTCTCTAGGTTCTGCTGGGTTATGTGATCGTGCGGAAAGGCCAGTCGGGGCAGGGTAAAAAACGGTCTTTCTTGTCTGTGCAATACACACAGCTCAGCCATGATCTTGGGCAGTGAACATCACCTGCTTGCGAATTGCAAGGGAAAGTGCTGATATAATTTTTTGTGTTTGTGGCAGGCCATAAGCTGATGTCACTGCAATGACATCAGAGGTGAAAGATAGACAGAAATAAAAGTAGGACCTGGCCTGTGACCCTAAAAGTCCATTACCCAGGCTTTAGCTCACTCTGCCGGCGAACCACAGAATATCTGATGGCGATGATGCATGCCTTCATCAGAGTGGGCACAACTTCATTGGAAAGCATCTTAACACGTATTATGATCATGTTAAAGTAGTTAATCTTCTCAGAGCCTCGCTTCACGTATGTGCCATCTGCTAGGACCTGGAATTTGATAGAGCCAGTAACAGGTTATCATCCTTTGAAGTCTTAGAACAGTTTTCATTAAAATAGAAGGTTTTGCTGGTATTTCTGCAGTGAGCAAAATGAACACTTGGTGACGATGGAGCTAGTTATTCTGATACATGGGTGTAAAATGACCCATACGAAGAGGTACAAGGTCCTTCTTCTACTGACTCTGGTGTATTCTGCCTGAATCCTAATTCTCCACCCTCTAACATGCAACTCAGGAGAGGGTTAATTTTGGATTCAGAAGAACCACCCCCCACAGAACTTCTCACCCCAGTGATTTCGGCGGGAGTTGAATGCACGCCTGGGGGCAAGGTCTTGCCCTAAATCTAGAAGGGCCTTAATATCCTTTCTGGTACCAGGGTGGGAACCTGATGGGTGAGTTTGTAACATACCTCACAGAACCGGCTCAGCATGTTTTCCCTAGGAACACGAACGTCTTGCAGTAGCAGATAGCCATTGTCATTGTGGTTGAAGTCCATTTTGGGGCCAATGTCTCCAACAGTTACTCCTAAGGGGTGGGAAGATGGATCCTATTTACTTCTTCCTCCCTGTTCTGCAGCAGGTTTGGGGACTTGGGGCAAGGTGCAGTTCACCTCCTCCAGTTTTCCCCTCGGGGGAACTTTGAGTGGGGAAAAAGGGCTCTGAGTCCCAGCCCATCTGCCTGCCTTACCCACATGTATACTGTTCATGGCTGGGGCTGAGCTGTTAATATATAAATCAGAAGCAGCAGCACGGGGCAGGGATCCCACAGTTGGAAGGGAGGTTTCATTTGGAGTTGCCTGACAATGTTACCAGTGATTCTGCCACTAACAGGCTTGGAGCAGATCCATAACGAGAGCAGCATGGGCAGTGCAGCCAGAAAGTGCAAAGTAGTGGAGGCAAGGCTTAGAGGTCTGAGAAGAGAGGCTGTGAGGCCGCATCACACCAGGGGCACTGTGCTTTTGCTCCTGAGCACAGCAGTGCTGCGTGCATGTGCTCTGGGGTGCATTGATCATGTGAGTGGCAGTGCTGTGCCTGCTCCCTCCTAGGCCGGCAGCAGGATCAGCCTGTTCATGTAGTGCTGTGCATGGGCAGTCAGCACTGCAGGGGCCGGGATGCCTGTGGCCTCACAGGTCAAGAGCCTCTGCTGGAACATCTCTGGCTTGGGGTGGGGTCAGTCCCTGCTAGTTTTGGACTCTTTGTGGCTCCTCAAACTTCAGAAGCTTTCCTTGCTCTCTGAGCTGCTTTCAGGAGGTCTCATGGCTACCTGTAGCACTGGCCTGGGCATGAGCCCAACATCCAAATAGGTATTTGTGGAGGGAAACAGCTGAAGAGCCACTTTACCTGGTGCAGGTGAATGGTCGTGGAGGCTACGGATCTGGACGATGAAAGGATGCACACCATAGCACTTCCCTTTAATGTACAGCTGGGCAAATACCACGGTGTGGGTTGCTGATCTGCCCACTGCAAGGGGGAGAAAGCCACATTGCTCTGAGGCTGTATACAGCAACTGCTTCCCCAGGCCACTGCACCGGACACAGTGGCTGTCTGGCATGTGACAGGCAAAGCAGTCAGCAGTGCTTAGGTCCTTGAGAAAGGCACAGTCTGGTGGGCTACATGTGGACAGCAGGAGCCTGGGCATCCTGAGCCCTGACTTTGGTTCAGCTGTTGACTTTCTGAGTTATCCTATGCAAGTCACTTAGTTTCTCTGCCTCAGTTTATATCTGTGAAGTGGGCATGCTTCGCCTGTCTCACGGGGATCAGAGAACTAAATAGTTGAATATTTGTGCAGATTCCCCTCTGCAGGAGGTGTGGGCTGAAAGTCTCTGGCTTGTGGTGTGCAAGAGAACAGAGCAGCTTCCTGAGTCCTCCACCCTACTGTTGGTGTGACTCTAACCCTTTCAGAAGTCTTTGTGTTGAGCTTATGACCCTGCTTGGGGTTGTGACCCTAGTCTGGAAACCTCTGCACCAGAGGCCATGATGGTCTTTTGGCCGTCCTACTACTTCTGATAAGCCCTCCATCAGAAAGTTTGCCCATTAACACGATACATACAGAGTTTGCCTTCACTGACGCCCAGGGGCCCACATCCCTAGTAGGAGTACCAGTCTGCAATCCGGGTTTGGCACTTACACTCTCCAGGCCACCACTTCATTGCAGAGATCTTCGGCGTGTTCAGGACAAACTCCTGGGTGGAAATGTTGAAAGTCGCTGTTGTCTCAAAACCCCGAATGTAAGTCCCTTTGCAAGAATAAATGTACATCCTGGCTCAGCATGTCAGAAGGGTCATTTGAAAGAGAGGAGTCAGGCTCCTCCTTGTACAGATCACCCTTACGGCTCTGCCTTCTGCCCAAGCAACTCCCAGGACTCCCCTGCAGAAAAATGGCTCTGGCCACTTCTGGCATATTATAAGCTCCCCTGCTTGACCTGGCTTCTCCCTCACTGCTAAGGACTGTGCTGTCAGTGCTTGTTCCTGCACCTCATTATTTCAGAGGCTGTGGATTATAAGGGGCTCATTGATTAGCCTCTTGAAGTTCCTGGGGCTTTAGACTCCAGTTGAGTTGAAGTAATTTCTAGAAGCTCATGTGGACATCCCCAACCATTTGTGGCTTACTCTCAAGGGCAGAGCTGCAAACCAGGCTGTTTTGTTGCCCATCTCTAGAACAAACCAGCCTGCTTCAGTACCTGTTTCTAGAACCCGTTTGTCAGGCAGTACCACCCCGATGCAACCTGGACAGCTCTCTTCAAGCATGCAATATTTAAAGCCAAACGTGTGCTCCCAACCAGTTCCCTGGTCCTGGTGACTCCCTTGTGTCTCGGTCATCCAAAAGCTAACCCCACCTCTTCCCTCTCCTAGTCCCTTAACTTGCAAGAATCAAAAGCCACTCAGCCCAACTTGCTTTTCTGCAGCTCTGGTGATTTTTTTTAATGGCCATCCATAAATGAAAGTGGAAGAACGGCTCCTCTCAACCTCTGAACTCAAGTTTTTGAACTTCTGGGTGAGTGAAGCTCATTGCCCTAAGCTGCTCCTCTTGGGGCCAGATCCTCAGATGAAATCATGAGGATAAGTTGATTTACACTCTGTGGGCCTGAGGAAATGCCACGTGTCCTCTGCAGCCTTACCATGTCCCAGCTCTGTCTGAGCGTAGCTTCCTAGAATGCGGTAGTTCTCAGCCAGGGGTATCCACTTGGCCGTCTGCTCATCTGTGCTCAGTGCCAGGATGCTCTCCATAAAGACAGTGTGAAGGGTGAAAGCAACCTCCCCCCCGAGTGCTCTGGGAAGAATAAATGGTCACTAGTGACACAGGGCTGCCAGGTCCAAGGACACCGTGTGTGTTGGGGCATTTAACAGAATCCAGTTGCCGCCCACCCCAAATGGTCATTTCCCTTTGGTGTCAGAAGGTGCATCTGGCCTGGCATTGCAGGAAAAAACAGTTCTCCCATTCCTTTTAAACCTTATGGCCACACATTTGTATTTTCACAGACCTGTATTTTGCATTTTGGCTTCTATTCTACCCAGGAAAGCACACAAACACCAACAAACTTTTCCCTATGCCTGAAGGAGGGTGTTTGTGCCTGGAAGCTTGCATAGAATAATTTTTCCTACTATTTAGTTGGTCTAATGAAAGATATCGCATCTACCCAAAGAACCTTTCTGCCTGTGAAAGCTTATGCATCTCTGTTTTAGTTAGTCTATAAAGTGCAAATCAACCCTGCTTTCTGCCTGACCTGTTAACCCCATTCTTCTCTGTCCTGATGGGAAACACATTTATCACCTGCTCACACATCCAGACTTGGAATTTTATCTCTGCCCAGGCAGGAGGGGAACCATTTAACTGGGGAATGGCAAATGCTGTACCTGTATCTGAGCAGGGGATACAAGTGGTATGGACAGCTGTGGACCCCACCAGAGTCTAGCCTCAGGAGCATGCAAGGCTTTGGAACATATTTGGAAGAAAGGAATGACTAAGGACCTGGAGGTAGAAAATGGAATAAAATACTATATGAACTTCCCAGATTAACCTGCTGTCTTTAACTTTTCACCTGGTATCTTTTCTGATACGAGAACTGATTTGCTAGGCAAGTTAAATGCAGGAGACCCAATCTACTTGAACTTTAGCAAAGCATGAATACAGCATCCTGTGAGCCGTGACTAGAGAAGGTGGAGATGGTGGGGGGTAGGACACGAATTGCAAGGGAACGAGGGCCTGGCTAGAGGGGACATGCCTGTGGGTTCTGCTGAAGGGAAAAGCATTGGGCTGGATGGAAGTTACTTGTCGGGCTCCTCAAGGTTTGGTCTTGTTTCAGAGCTTCTAGGAAGACCTTGGCCCCCAAAAGTGCTGATGAAATTAGCCACTGACATGGAGCTGGGAGGCATTGTCAGTACTGACCTTCCACCAGAAAGGACGGGGCTACCTTGCGAACTGGCTGGATAGAAATGGGATGAAACCCAATAGCCCCAAGTACAAGGGCGGGCGTGTGGGGCCTGCTGTGAACAGGGAGCTCAGCAGTCAGAAATGACAACAGGTGGGAAGGTCTGGAAGTATCAGTCGGTCACAGGATGGCTGAGGAGCACCGATGTGCTGCAGCCTTGGAAGCGGCAAACACGGTTGTGCAATGCATCAGGCATCAGGCTAGCAGACAGGGAAGTATGAGCGGCATTAGAGAAGCCAGGTCCTAACACAGTCTTCTGATGGGAGCCACAAGGGCCAGAAGCTCATGGCTTTTAAGATGAAGCAGATCATGCGGTCAGAGGGGTTGTAGGAGGTGAGCATCTGTGGCAGCACGGGCTGGATCTCAGCGACCCCGGAGGTCCCTTTCCATCCAGCATGTTGTTACTGGGGTCAGTTCCTGTGTATCCCGGGTGTGTCTGGGAGTCCCTGTGGAAGTGGTGTGAGTGTGAGGGCAACGGAGCAGGCCTGGGGAGGTGGCTATTTACAGGACCCTGTGCTCTGCTTGTGACTGTGTGGAAGCTGCTGCATGCGACTGCTCGAGCGGGTGATACCAGCAGGCACACTGCCTCGCCAGCTCAGTGCTGCAGCAAACACCTGAGCGAGCTTGTGCCGAAAGCCTGTCAGTCGGTCAGTGTGCCCCATGGGCCCTGTAGATACAGGTGTCTTAAAGGGAGAAATACTGAGATAAAAGGAGGGAAGGGTGAAAATGCTGGCAGGCATTTGGTAAAAAGAAAATAAACAAGGTACCTATTACAGTACTTGCTTTCAGGCCCAGCCCAGCTCCACTTCATCTGGTGCATCATCTTCTTGAGGTGCACGGCCTTTTTGACTGCTGCTTCGTAACTCTCGTTCTGGCTCAGGAAGTACTTGTCTTCCCTGCTGAACACAGGATCGCTGTGAATCACAGCCTCTGTAAAACAGAGCGGGCAGTCGGCTTGCCTCAGGGAGCTCTGCTCCCGGTCAGACCTGTTGTCTTCTCTCCACAAAGCCCGGGCCCCGTGCAGGACCAAACACAACCTCTCTTACTGTGCTGGTCGGTTCAGTGTTTGGCCCTTCCTACATTTCCTCTGCTGCAGGTTGAGGCCATTGCTCCTAGTCCTGTCCCCTCTGGCCACAGAGAAAAGCCCATCTCCACCCTCCTTATTATCTCCCTTCAGGTATTTGAAGACTGTTATCACATCTCCCCTCAGTCTTCTCTACTCTGGGCTGGATAATCCTAGTTCTTTCAGCCTTTCCTCGAAGTCTTGCTTCCCAGGCCCCTAATCACGTTGTTGTTCTACCCTGAACTCTCCCCAATCTGTCCACATCCTTCTGGAAGTGCAGAGCCCAAAACTGGACGTGGCACCGCAGGTGAGGCCTCACCGGTGCTGAATAGAGCAGAAGAATCTTGATTTGCAAGTGATGCTAATGTTGATACAGCCTAGGATGCTGTCGGCTTTTTTGCAACAAGAATACCCTGTTGGCTCACAGTCAACACGTGGTCCACTTCAAACCCCAGACCCTTTCCTGCAGGACTGTAATCTAGCAAATCATTTCCCAGTCTGTAATTGTGCATGCAATTATTCCTTCCCAAATGCAGGACTTCATACTTGTTCTTGTTGAATTTGACCCGGTTAACTGCAGACCGTTTTTCCAGTGTACCCAGGTCATTCTGGATCCTAGCCCTGTATGTCCGCACCTCCCCCAACTCGGTGTCATCTGTAAATGACTGACATGGTGTGTGTTTGCCAGCTGTTTTGGCTGTCTGACACACTGGGGAATAGGACAAAAGACTGGCTATTTGTGTCCATCTGTCCTGCTCCCCACACAGCGGGTCTTAGTGCACCTGACTGAGCTGGCAGGGCAGGATTTGGGTCTTAAAGCCTCAGTTAATGCAGTAGCTTTTCAGTTGTAAATCATGATTTTTTTTACATTAGAAACTGGCACCGAGAGCTGGTATTGGCACATCACTGCTCACATGGCTGGGCATGAAAGGAGCACTGTCTAAAAACACAAGAGTGTCTAAATAAGGGTGGGTATTAAGTCAAGTGGAAATAACAAGCTGCTCAGGAGCCCAATTCCCTCTGCGCAACCTTTCTCTGGCTATAAAACATTACGAGCGTATCTGCTGCTTCTAATCAGGCTTAGTGCCAAGTCTTTAAACCCCACTCACCTACTGCCCTTCGGACACGCGTGTTCTCAGCGCCTCCATCCAATATGGTAGTGAGCTTCTCTACATCAAAGGAGGGAGTTTTTCTCTCAATGTCGAGGTCGGGATTCACATCCCTGCTGGCCGAGCTCCTGAGATACCGGGTTGGGGCCATGCTGGGAGCACTGCAAAAGGATGGTGCGGATTAGTCTGCCGGTCCTGGCAAGCGTGTGCAGCAGGTTTTAAAGCATGTTAATTAGTTACCACGTGTTTAATGAGCTGCTTATAAGGAGGAAAAGCTATATCAAACTCCAAGGGGTTACACTCATCTTTGATTATGTCTCTCTTTCTGGTCAAAGTCTGTTTTTACCGGGTTAATGATTCCAGGCTAATATGTTGCATGTTAACACTGCCAGCTAAGGAGTGAGCTAGGAGCTCTCTTCCTGAATATTTGTCCCAGTTCTAGTTCAGATACTTGTCTGGTTTTTTTGTGTGGTATGCACTAGATGGTGCTTTAATAAGGTGGGACTGGGATTCTTGGGCTTAGCCGAGCCTGGAAAACAAGGACTTGGTATGTGCAGAGTCATGTAGCGCCAGGGAAGCAGAACGGACAGAGAGCGTGCGCTGAGGATTGCCGGCAGTGACGCTCTTCCGCGTCCTCTGATACAACCTCGAGTGTGCAGGGCTGGTGCAGGGGTGTCTAGTGGACTGGCCCTAGCGTAAGCTGTGCTGCAGGCCAGACTCAGCCCTTTCTGACCTTAACCTCCACCTCTTCTTAACGACTGAGGGTTTCCTCGTTCATTCCCAAACAAGAAGCCCCAAAATTCATCCTGCAAGGGAGCTGCCTGTTTTTCACTCCAAGGACATCCAGCTTTGGGAAACCTCACCAGGGTGATCTTGCCATCAGGGGTGCTCGTATTTAGACACTGAATCCAAAGCCCAGGCCTTGTCCTCTGAGCACAGAAGCAGCCCTCGGTACAGAGCAGCTTGAGGAGACAAGCGTAACTGTGGCCTGCCCTTGCTGTCTGCTCACCAGCGCTCAGAGAGATGTGGCGGTGTGCTCCCGTGTCAGCCTTTGATGCACGAGATGCAGACACGAAGGGCACGTACGTTGTCTCTGGCAGTCGGCAGAAGGAAAGATGACATCTTCCCCTGTGTGTGGCTGGCTCAGACTACACTTCCCAGCATGCTGTGCGGAGCCTCATGGCTTGCGATTAACTCTGTAGGCTTTGCTAGCTAGTGTGTACTTATCTCCACTGACCTCTTCTGGTTGGTTCACAAGCCTCTCGGCTTGTGCGGCCTAAAGCCACAGCTTGCAGAGAAGCCTTGTCCCCTGCACAGTCTGACGCCGAAGTGGCAGCATTTCTTGGCTTTGGCCATCCTCTGATGATTTTCCTGCAGCCACCAGCGAGTGCTATAGGGTGCAGCACAGCAGGATAGTGCAGTGATTCTCAACCAGGGTGCTCAAGCCAGAAATTAGAAACAGAAACCCAGGGAGTTAAAAATGTTCCACCCTGCTGTGGCCTTCCTGGGTTCTTTGCAACAGAAGAACTGCTCTTGTATTTGTTTGTAGTCCCTAAAATTAATAAAAGGTCAGAGCTGGCATTTTCCAAGGGCCTTGAGCATAAAATTGTTGAAACCCACCCTGATAGCAGCTTTGCCCTGGGGGTCAGAGGGCCCTGGATGGCCCCAGGTTGCATCTGGGCTGCAGTGCTGCACCAAAGAATCTCTTTTCAGGGAAGAGGCATGGTCTACCCTGACCTGCCCAGAGCCAGCGTGAGGCTCCTGGTCCATGGTGGTTTGCAGCTGAATCTTGGTCTGCTCACACCCACGCTGAAGTGAAACACGCAGGCCCCATGCAGGCCTCAGCATGCATGCTCTCTCATGTAATCCCCATGGGTCCAGAGCACGGTGCAGGGAGCAACCAGGGGCTGTAGCCTGGGCTCCCACTAGCATGTGCTGGTGCAAGTTGGTGTTGGGGGGAAGGAGCCCATGCCTTGCCCCTGCTCTGGAGCCACAGGAGGGTAGTACTGGGTTTTCCAGAGTGTTGAAAAAGGCTCTGCTTCCAGGGGCATACCTGGCGGCAACCCGTGGGGTGAATGAATGGCTGGCACTCGATATGCTTTCAGACATTGTGAAACCTTCTTTGGCTCTCTCTTTGGCTAAACTCTGTGATGTTATAAACAGCCTTGAAGGTGTGCAGGGCCGGGTTGTTAAAGCCTGACAGCCAGGGCAGCCCCAGGAAGCGGGACATGTGGGCTGGGATCCCCTCAGGCAGAGCAGAGCCTTGAACCCTGGTCTTCCACATTGTGATCAGTTGGGACTACTGTGGAAAAGCAGGGTACATTGCTGAAAGGCAGCTAGATGTTTTCCTTGCTCGAATAACACTTGAGGGGCTGGATTCTTCCAGTGGTGCTCAATCTTGTGACCTCCTGGGCTGGGTGAGTGGCTTGGGGCTGGTCCACAAGCTGGACCCAGGAGGTTGGCCCCAGGATCAGACCCTGAGTGCCTGGATCCTGTCTTGTGCCACCCATATCCCCTCTCACACTGCCCAGATCAGGCCCTGTGTGCCCAGACCCCATCTTAGGCTGCGCCTGGATCAAGCCCCATGCCCGATCTAGCATGCAAGGCTATGCTGCCTGCCCGCAGGGTTCCCCACTGGGGCTCACTGGAAGTGGTGGGATTTGTTTGCAAGCAGTGACTTTAGGCTGCAGCTGGCAGCCTGTCCCTAGGTTTATGGTGAGAACCCCTCTGTGCATTTTGGGCCAGGCTTCTCTCTCTCAGGGCTCAGTAGCCAGGAGTTTGTGCAGAAGGAAGTCCCAGTACGTTCCCCAGGGGGCTTGGTTCTTGTGAGAAAAGCAGCCAGGGGCTTGGTGCCCAGGGCAGCAGCATGTAGGAAACCTGCAGGGCCCTAAGGCAGTGGTTCTCAAGCCTTTTAGACTCAAGATCCTCCTTGTTAAACTCAGGTCCTCCCTTGGAAAATGCCAGCTCTGAGTTTTCATTTGTTTTTTTGAGTACAGAATAACATAGCAATTCTGGTGCTGCTGCTGCAAAGAGCTCAGCAAGACCCTGGATCCTGTCTGACATCTCTGGCTTTCTCTTGTGAGTGGTATGTGGGCATTTGCACGTGGACCAGTGCCAATGTGTGCACCCTTAATAGGATCTCACAGCACCCTGGATGTCTTGGCACCTGGTTGAGAGTCACTCTGACGTAACAGTTCCAGCCTTTCTACTCCTCTTGACAGAGTTTGTCCAGGCCCCTGGGCATTCTCTTTGCCCTTCTCCAAACTTCCTTGAACTTTGCCGCTTTTGCATCTTTTAGGGTACAATTTGTTCTTGTTTGTGATCCATCACTTAGGTCAGCTGCCTGACATGTCCTGTTCTTCAGAGGGAATCTGGCAGGGGCACATGTTAGTCTGGCTGCCCGACTAGGCAGCTGCACTGGCAGCGCTCAGGACCCAGGAGTCCACAGCCCACGTCTGTGCTCAAAGGTGCTTGGCGGCAGTGGAGCCGGTCCTCCTTGCTGGCAAAGTGAGAGCCTCTGTACGCCTCCTGCGAGCTGCTGCAGTGTCTTCCCCGGGGGAGCTGCGGGGCTGGCTGTGGAGTTTGGGGGGCTCTGGAAAGCAGCTCAGCGCAGGGCAGAATATTTCTTCCCATTGGCTATTTTTGAGGCAGTGAGTCAGAGTGACTTGTGGGGAGGGGAAAGTAGGTGTCCTTTAATTGGCAGTTAGGTCCCAGCAAGCCGTCAGGGTCCTCTGTGGGTGAGTGTCGTGAAGTCCATCTGCAGCTGCAGCAGGCTGGGAGATTGCAGGGCCTGGTAAACCTGTGGCAATGCGAGGAACCCAAGCTGTGGGGTAATGGGAATGCAGCTTCAAGGGGCAGTTTCCCTGCCAAGAACACTAGTAATTTCTCTGAGAAAAAAGGGGCTCTGTCAACATGAAAGGCTAATTGTGGCATTTGGGCGTGAAGGGTGATGTATTTTACTGCCTGCAGTTAGCGCGTTCAGTAATCCGATTTAGGCAGGAGCTGTGATGGCTGAGAGGTGCGAAGCCAAGACATGTTTTATCACATCCAGCGCTAAGCTGGCTTTGTATCTTAGTGACGGGTATGTTCTCCAGCAGGGAAATAGTACAGGCTTGCGGGCATGCCTGTGTGCATGTGTGTGCTTGGGAAAAGAGGCAGGCAGTCGGTTTTAGCAGCATGGAATAAAGATCTGAAGTCCCTAATCCAGATTGCCTGGGGCATCTGAACCTGGAGCTGGATTCTAGTGTCGTGAACAGCTGGTTTCTGGGCCCATACCCTGGGTCTGGGCACTCCTTAATCAGGAGATTTCCAGTCCAGCTGGGCAAGTTACAGCTTCAGCTCTTCTTTAGTACTGAGAAAGGCATGATCACCTCCCTCAGCACTATGAGTGGGCAGGAGGCTTCTGAAGAGTTGATGAACAACAGGTGATAAGCAACAGACAGGCTTTTACTTTGTCTTCCACATTAGCTGTTAGTATGAGGAGCCAAGGAGTACAGTGCCTGACCCAGAGGGTAGGATGATGAACTTTCCTTTGCATTATTTGTCAGATTGGAACGGCTTTCCCTGGTTTACCATGGTTGTTTTGCTTGCTGCTACAGCCAGTTAAGGCTTCTGATAATGACAAAAAAATCACAAGTGTCAGGGTTCCCTTTCCACGCAAGCAGAACTTTTCAGCTAACTTCATGAGCAAGAGAAGTGTGACGAGTCCCCTTGCAATCATGGGTGCTGTAGGAGGCCCTTAGACAGAATAACTGTTTGGATGTAGTCTTGTCCAGTGAAAACTGCTGAAAGGGCCCCTCTTCCTGAATGCTTGCATGTACAGGTACCTTGTGACCTGACAGGAGGTACGTGTTTGGTAGAATAACTATGCTCCTGGGGCTTCCTTATCTCTGAGTTCAAAGGCTGGGAGTTCAGCTTTGTATCTTTATCCTCTACAGAAAAGCAATTTCTTTGATATTTGTGTAACTGATTTTCCTGAAATGGGATGGCTACTCCTGGCAGTGTTTGAAAGAGCAAGCCAAAGCCTTGCATACTAAAAACTTTAAAAAATCATGACTTCATATTTTGGAAGGGAAAAAGGCCTTTTAGTACCTAGGTTTTTTGTGCACCCAAAATTTTCAGGAGTTCTGGGTGGACAAGAAATGTAGGATTGGACGCCTGGAGATGAGAATGCAGAGCCTGTGGACCAGTTGTTGTCAGATGTCAGTACTGTACTTCTTGTTTGAAATCAGTTTATTTGGCTGTTGTCTTCCTTCATCCACAGAGCCTTTTCAGTCCTCAGTGGAAAAGAACAAAATATACAATGTGGACAACATGGAGAGGGTCCAGAGGGGGGCCACCCACATGATCCGGGGACAACAGGGCAGACCCTACAGTGAGAGACTGCGGGACCTGAACCTGTTCAGCCTTCACAAGCGAAGGCTGAGGGGGGACCTGGTGACTGTCTATAAACTCACTAGGGGGGACCAGAAGGGTTTGGGGGAGACGCTGTTTCCCCTAGCGCCCGCTGGCATAACAAGGAATAACGGCCACAAGTTGTTGGAGAGGAGGTTTAGATTAGACATCCGTAAGAACTACTTCACAGTCAGGGCGGCTAGGAGCTGGAACCAACTTCCAAGGAAAGTGGTGCTGGCTCCTACCCTGCGGGGGCCTTAAGAGGAGGCTTGATGCCTACCTGGCTGGAGTCATTTGAGCCCGGTTTTTCTCCTGCCCAGGCAGGGGGGGTCAGACTTGAAGATCTACAAGGTCCCTCCCGACCCCACTTCTATGATTCTGTGATACAACCATCATTCAATTTATTTCCTGATCATATGTCTTCAGAAAGGTCTGCATCAACTAACGTGAGAAGTGACAGTTAATTTGAATGTGTGTGTGCATGCACATGTGTGTGTATGTGTATATACACACATTTATACACGTACACACATACAGCATGTATACCAGGTAGGCTGGTACATGGCATAAACTGTGCAGAAGGTTGTCTTTTCACTAATATTGGGAGCTTGAATTTTTGCGTAAATCACATTTATTTAGGAAAGCTTTTTATGGGCATACTGAACGGAAGTTTAAGCCCACAATTTGGACCTCTGTGTACAAAATAAGACAAAAAAGAGTTTACAAAATGTGTTGATGATGATGCTTCCATTGATGTATAATGTTTTAATGTAATGACAGCTGGTCTTTCTTTCCTTTGGGTTTACACATTTTCCTGTAGTGCTCACAACCCCAAACCCTCCTACCACCAGATTACTGATTCACACACAAAAGCAAAACCAAACTCCAGCATTCCTAGCCAGCCAGCATGTCAGGACATACAGGCACTCTCAGTGGTGAAAAGCAGTGGAGGCTTCTGCAGTTCGTGGTTTTAGCCGTGTAAGAGCTTCACCAAGCCATGGGATGAGGATGCTGTGTGTGAAGACAGTGCAGTTGTCTTAGCTCATAAAAGCATAACGCCTACAGCTCCTACCCCGTGAGAGCCCTACCCTCTGGGAGAACTCATGCCGGGAGGGGAGGGAGCTCTCTTCCCTAGGAGGGAACCAGGTTGTTTTGCGAGTGTTACTACAGCTGTTGACTGTGGCCAGACCAGCAAATCTGGGTGCTTGGTGTGGTCTGTTGGGGTGGGGGTCCCCATGTAGTGGAGTGGGGCTTAATTGGTGCATGGAGTCTGGTGCAGGCTGTGCGCATGGGAGAAGCAATGTTCACTCGTGTCATTTCTTGGAGATGTTTTGTGAAGGTGACTGAACTAGGGCCGTACACTTTCAAAGGAAGCAACAGAGTTAGGAAACCCAGCCCTGTTTGATGTGAACAGTTTCATCTAACCCAACACCACTCAGGAGACATCACACCATGTCCTCCACAGCCAGGTATCAAGTGTGCCTTGGCCCTTTTCAGCTGGTTACATTTCTCATATAGGTAATGAGCACAGGCTCTGCTTGGGTTGGTTTAATGATGACCTGAAAAGCCTCGTTTAGACTCAAGGACATTTGAGCTGATTTCAGCTTTCATTTGGTCTTTGGTGACCATGCACAAGGGATTCCCGACACAAACGCTTGTGCAGAATAAACGTGGCAGGGAAGAAAGGCAGTGCTGCAAGCTGGAGCTCCCGGCCACCGTGGCCATTCCCTGCTGTATGCAGGTCCATCCCTTCAGGGTGTCACCTGGAGGTTTCCAAGAAGCTCTCCAGCTGCTGCCCTGTACCCGGCAGTGCCAGTGACAGGAGTGCTTGCTCTAAGATTTAGCTCCAGGAATGATTCACAGACCTAGGAGAGTCTGCCAAGCCTCCAGGAGTGTCCACCACTGTAAATTGGGCAGTGTGAGTATATGCCCTACCTCAAGGGGTTAGCCATGAGTTAATAGGGGTGGATGTTAGCATGCACCCATAATTAGAGAGGAAATCTTCCTCATCTTTTCATATGAGTACTTCTACTAGTAGATACTGCGCCTTCACCGTTACCATACCCTGTCCTGGAGGAGAAAGCCCTTGTATGCATTTCTACTGCAGCAAGCATTAATAGCAGTAAGTAGCCCCAGAGACATGGTTGCAAACGTCCACCACAGACAGAGATGTCAGTGTACAGGTACTAGCTCCCAGCTGGATGTGACCCGACGTTTAGCTTTGGCAGGTGCTACACCACTTTTTCCTCCCCTGTCAGTGTTGCTGTTCTTCTCAAGTTTGCCTTTACTTTAATAAACTCTGGTGCATGCTCTTCGTGCTTCTCTTCCTCTTTCTCCAGCTGAAAACAAGAGAGCAGCAGATGTTATCTGTGCATGGTGGGAATGCCGGAGAGCACAAGCGCACCACACTGGCTGCGTTGCGGTGTGCTGCACCCTTACTTACAGTCCTCAGACTCTGGCTCCTACTCCCATCTCTTTCATTGCAGCAACACGTGAATTACTTCATTTTCAGATGCAACCAGGGTATGTGGCCGCAGGCAGTGTCGGCGTCATACATGCAGGGACTGCGTTTGCAAATCTGGGCATTAACATCCCGACCCTTGTATCAACAACCAAATCTCCCAAGTGTGACCCAGTCTCCAAAACAAGTGCACTCTCCCACAAGGGTTAAGGTCAGGGTAAAAGCAAGACTTATACAGCTCTGAGACCTTTAGAAGACAGGTCATCTTCCTCCTACCACAGAAGTGTTGTTTGATGAAGAAGGCTGGTTCATGTCCTTGCCTGCTAACTGGTGCAATGGTTTAATTAAAGAATTATTGGCAGTGGCATGGGTGTGAAGATGAAACCCAGCAGAAGAAGGAAAAAATCCTCTTAATTAAGCTACCAGGGCTGAGAACATTGAGTTCAAAGCTTTGTTCTTCAGCTGTTTATTTTATTAACTGCCTTTATGCCGGTGTGGAATTGGGATGTCAGCTCCTACCACGGCTTGGCCAGTGACCACAGCCTCTGCTGTCCCTGGCCTACCGTGGTCCCCATCCCCCTACTGCCCCTTGCATGGGGTATGGGCTTCCCCTCGGCACCTGCAAAGCTTCAGCATTAACCGCCTCCAAATCCCTCCTGCAAACCTGCCTTTGCCAGCGGCAAAGTGGCTGGTATGCTGAGACCCAGCCCCATCACGCTGCCTGACAGTGTCTTGTCCCCTTGCCCTCCCTGTCTGTGGGCCTGCCTCTTGCTTGTCGTCCCTGTTTCCTCTCCTGTTCTGCTCCTCTGTCTTGTCTGGTTTGGTGTGAGGGCTGTCGCCCCCAGACACCCCCTTGGCACTCTGGTAACGCAAGTGCCTCGTAAGTGCAAATGTTGCTGTGGCTGCCGCAGGGCTTGTTTCAACAGCTGCAATTCATACCGGCACCGATGGGCCATTCTCACCCCGGGACTGTCACTGATGCAATGCCATTCCCGAAATGTGCCAGTTGTGTCTGTGGGGGTAGTGGCAAATAGGGGAGGAGGACAGAGAAATGGAAACTCTTCCTTGCATCACTTTGACTAGGGTTGGGGGGAGGGATCTGGAGTGTGAGGCTCTTGAGCCAGCTCCTGGACCAGGGAGGCAGAGAATGGGGGTTTGTGGGTAGGCTGGGCCTGACCCTTTCCTTTTGTCCATCGTGGCACAGGGGAGCATATGGTGGTGCGTGGTCTCGGGGGCTTGCCCATAGCACCTCAGTGCCCTGTGCTCAGCTCCACAGCACCACCGATGTGGTTCTTACTCCATTTGATTCACAGGCAGCAGAAACGTTGCCAGTGCTTGTCTCCTCCTAAAGCACCTTCCAGGTTGTCCAGACCTCGGGTGGGGCATTTACTATACATTACTTGGAGGGATTTGAAATTCAGTGGCTACCTTATCCAGCCTTTGCTGCCGTTTCAAGAGCTCTTGTTCAAACGGAGACTTCAGTTTCTTTGCCTCCTCTTCCTCCTTTCTCTGCCTCATCAGCTGATTTCGCCGCCGGTGCTCGAGTACTCGCTGTAGCTCTGGCTTGCTCTCTACTCCTAGGCCTCTGTGAACAAAACACAGAGCACGTCAGAGCTGGAGCCGTGTCTGCTTGCAGCAGGAGTCCCAGCCCCCTGTGGCATGCTGCCCAGAGACATGGAGTTCGGGCTTGTTGTACAAAATGACAGGGCTCTTCTCCTGCATGTGATCATGTCTGTCAGTTAAACAGGCACTGCTGTTTAGCCTTGCAGTGCGTCTAAAATCCTGAGGTTTGTTCAAAGCAGGGGTGTTTTGTTACCTGATGGGGGGACAGGAAAGTAATTGGGTCAGGAGCCTTCACCTGCGTGGCAGCCCGTTTCAGGCGCCGTGCCTGGCATGGGCGTGAGAGAAGGGCTGACGGCAGATCAGGTTCTGGGATGTTCACCATCCAGGCTCAGACCCAGGCTTGCCCCATGCCCCTAATCTTCTTCCTGATGTGTCACCCACAGCCCTGGGGCGCTGGATAGCAGTTATTGTGCTCTGATTCTTCCTCTGCAGAGGAATATGTATTGCACACAAATCTACCTGACACATGTACTGAGATTTGCAGTCAAGCATGCAGGAGGGCCATGTTACTTTTAATTGACACCTGGTCCTTCAGGTCATCATGGCCCTACTTCTTCCCTTGCTCTCTTCTTTGCTGTATTGCTCAGGAGTCCTTTGTAATTTGTTTAAATTCTCCTCGACAGCAGCTGTCACAGCTTGACTTCTGGCAGTCCTGTGACCCCTGTGACAGCTTTTTGTCTGATCAGTCCTTATTCCCATGCCCTTTAGTCTCCCTGCTTGCTTCTGTTCTCCTTTTGAAGAGGTAATTCATCTCATCAGATCTGAAACCTTTCCCTACATGTTCTTTGTCCTTGGCACACAAGTTCCAGAGCGTTTTTGAGAGCATTAAAAGAATGCCTCTGCACTCGGGTCCCGGAGCACGTCTACCCTCCGACTTCACTAGCTAAGAGAGCATTTGATACAGCGCCATTTGGAAGACTATCAGTTGATGTGGAAATTAGTAAAAGAATTGTAGGGTAGGTGAGGAGCCGCCCAACAGTGACACACAAATGGGTTGGGTTGGGTTGGGTTGGGTTGGGTTGCAAGGGGTTGGATCGAGCTGGGGTTGAGTTCCAGAAGGACTACTCTTGTGGCCAGCCTTATTTAATATTGTCATTAATGGGACAAACAGCAGGAGTTTGCTAATGGAATTTGTCTTGGGCACAAGGCTGGGAGAATCGTCAGTGCAGGGAAGGACCAGCACATCGTACGGAAAGAACCGCCTGACTTGGAGGGTGGGGGTACGAGACGTATGTACTAGCAATGGGATTCTATTTGCTAGCACCAAGTGCACAGTCATGCGCTCAGGCTGCTTGAAATCAATGGAATTTAGGAAATGAAAAACCTCTGATACTGTTCTGGCCCCTCGTGGACTTCACGTGGTGATTTTCATTAAGGTTGCTCCAAAGCAGAAGCAACTCAAGTGTTCGGGTGCACAGCTTCCGCACCAAAGTGGCAAGTGCTCTGGGAATATCTCACCTCGATGTGCAGTTATGGGAGGTAAATAGTATCTAGCTATGGCACCTGTCGGGCCAACAAGGGAGGGGTTTTCCCGGTGAGGCAGCGTGTTTGAAGTACTCTGTCTAATGCATCCTCCCATCACCCTTGTTTCTGCTTTGGCTTTAGTGCGTTGGCACCAGGGGCTCCATGATATTGTCTACAGCAGGAAGATTCAAATGCTACACAGAGGCCTTCCCCTTGGTAGTCAAAGCTGCTCACTACTGTTGACTTGGAGAAAGCGAGTCTGCCTGGGCTTGGGTCTCAGGCAGGAAGCGTAAGGGAAATAGAAGCTCTAACACTGCCTTTGGGTTTCTAAGTATTATTTGATTTGCTTTCTGTACTGAGAAGCTTTGTTCAGGATCTAAGTCTGGCTGTGCCAAGAGCTCCTTTGAGCTGCTTCCTTCCCCTGCTCCAAGGGGAATACGCAGAGCAAGCTGCATTATAAGCTTTGTGTAACTCTCTCTCTATCCTCCACCCTTCTCTTCAGACAGGAGATAGGATGTGGTTGGGACATGCAGGATATTGGCAACCTGCTATCTCAAAGACACATATTAACTCTCTGGGCTTTTGAGCCTCCAAGGCTGTGGCTGAAACAGGTTTGGTATAACTGAAGCAGGAGATATCAGGAGAGAGCATTAAAGATGACTGAGTCTGATGGAGCTTTTGTGAGCAAAGGCTGGGCTGGATAAATCCGGCTTTGATTGCTTCCCAATTTTAAGACAAAACAACTCCAGGGTAAGGGCATATTACAACAACCCAGCAACAACAGACCAGTGCAGGGATTCTTGTTTGCAGGAGCAATTGCTCTCCATATTTTTTAAGACAAATGTCTGGTGCTGCTGCTGGGTGCTGGTGCACACAGCTATGGCTCTAACCCCAGGTGCCCTGGGCAGGAAGCGGGCGTGTGTCGGGGTAGAGGCAGTGGTGATGGTAACGGTTGTGTTACGATGACATCTAGCGAATTATGTGGGAATAACACGAGGCAGGGCTCTGACACTGCCGCTTAGCTCAGCAAAGGGCAGTCACCCCCTGCTCTGTTCCTCAGACCACGTCCACCACCCGTCTCCATCCCCTGGTCACCGTGACATGCTCCAGCGTGGCACCTGTATGACCCCATTGGTCTCAGCAGCGTCAAACTGCTCTAACCCAGTGGGATACGTGGACAGACCAATACTAGGCGAACCTGGAACCGAGAGCACTTATGTTTTTATAGGAAGCAGGAGTCAGCGTGGAGACCGTCCACTGTCAGTAAGCAGGCTACAACCCCCTGGCCCTCTGCCAGCACCTGTACCCAGGCCTGCATCCCCAGGCCCCCTTTAAAGGGGAGGAGGAGGCTGGATATCAGGGTGTTACCTGGTCAGAGCCTGTTGTACCAGGGAGCAAGAGAAGAGACTGCAAGGCATCTCTTTACTTAGGGATCTGCTTCTGCAGCCTCCCCTGCCTTTGTGAGGAAGTGGTGTGACCGCTGGGTCACTGAACAGGAGGCCCAAGCCTTTAGGGCCTTGCTCTATGATCCCAAATGAAAGGGCAGTTCACGTCCGAGGTGCGTGACACCGGAGCAGAGGGAGAGGGGTCTGTCCAGAGCACCCAAGGGGTGCCACAGCAAAGTACAGCATCTCTTGTCCCACTTGGCACGCACAGATCTGAAGGAGTGCTTGGGGGTGCTCTCACCTTTTGTGGTTCATAAGCAGCTCTCTGTGGAGCTCCTGGTGGCTTTTTGAGGCTTTTACAGGATTTAGGAGCTTCTTTGGTTTGATAAGGCCAGGGTTTCCATCGATGTAGTCTGGGTGCGCCGTGATATTTCCAACCTCTGGCCGCTCCCTCTGGATTTCTGAATACATAGAGGCTGGAAGAGAATAGAGGTAACTGCATGAGGAGTCCCACTGCTGATGGGAGCAAAGTGAGTGTGAGTTCACAGCCTGACCGCCTGGCCCTGCCCCAAGCAGCTTGCGGTCTCAGGGAGCATCCCTGTGCGTGCAGGTGTGCACGCATGCATGTATGCCTGCCTGTGTCCACTCAGAAATGGTCAGGGGATGCAAGATTCCCTCGCTGTGCAACTCTGCCACAGATTAATCACTGTGCTTGCAGTGGGTGCAGTCACTGGCTCCACCACTTACTTCCCACTGTGACTTCAGGCGGCTCACTTCAGTGTAACATCCTGTAAGACTAAAATAGACCTCAGTAAAAATGAACCCCCCAGCTTGGGATCCAGTAGTTCTGTGCTGGCGACCTCACAGCTGGGGCAGTCGGTCCCGAAGGCCAGCATGTCCAGGCATCCCCAGGATGGTAGGACCTGAGGAGCAGGCTTGAAGAAAGGCTCCTTATGAAACAGTTTCATGATGTCAGGCTGGTCTTGTTCTTGAGACCCATCCCTGCACCTCTCGCAGTATCAGAATTCATGCCTGTAACATGTCAGATGTAATTACAGCAGTTGTAACCTGCCGTCACAGCACAATCATTTCTACACGCTAAGGTGTCAGAACAAATGGCAGCTGCATTGTACCGGACAGCACTTTCCATATCCAGTTGGCCATCTGCCTGCTGATGTCCTCCAAGATCTGGTGACTCTGTTAGTTTAAAAAACCTGTAGAGAACAAGGGCGTAGCATCAGCTGTAGGGTGCGGCGCCTGCACTGCGCTGTGGCTTTAAGTACGTGGTCCAGCTGAGCTGGCAAATCTGTGCCAGGGTGCAACCCGATCGGGGAATTCAAGCAGCCTGGAAGAGCAGTTTGCTGCTGTGCAGACACACAAACTGGAAGGGTTTCCTAATCCGTGCAAACAGTCCTAGGGACAAGGTGTGTGTAGCAATCTAGCCATGGGTCTCTCTCTTTCATGGCTTTGGAGAGCATGGAGCGAAGGCATGTGGGTCTGTGCACCAGCAAGGCAAACTTGTGCTGTTCTGTAACATTGTTCTCTACGTTTTGGCTAGCTCACGTGTATTTAAAGAACAAAGCCCATTTGAAAGGGAAATCATGAAATAAAGAGAAGAAGGCAGGGGAGGGTTATTCATAGATTCATACATGTTTAGGCTGGGAAGGACCTCAGTAGATCACCGAGTCCGACCCCCTGCCCATTCCTTCATGGGCTGGGAGTGTTTAATGAACTTAAAATGGATTGGGATCAAATAAAGCTGTCTAAGAAAAAAATGCTGAAGAAAATGACTTGGTACAGAGCAACTTCTCTTGAATGTTAATGGGAGCGGTGCCCGGTGCTCTGGGAATGAAAGGAAACACATCGGAACCTGCCACATCAGTGTAATCGGGGCAGAGAGCTCAGGACACATAGACACCACTTGGATATGTGAATTCCTGCACCAAATTATTTTCCACGGCAATTTTATACCCTTGCTGGTAGCAAGGGAAGGTGACTGCGTTTAGCTGTTTGGTGACAAATGCTTGGTTGATTCATGTACTTACAGAGCCAGATTTTCAGCTGGCAAAATCAGCAGAGCTGCAGCGTGCTCAAGAGAGAGGCACTGGTTGAAAAACAGCCAAGGGTTAGAATATGCAAGGGGGTTTTGGTCAAAACGCTTTTTACCTGATGGAAACAATGGCTTTACGGGCAGTGATGTGTCATTTGCCACCAGTGCGGAATAGTTTTATTTTGTCTTTGGCTTTTCCCTCTGGGCTTCTTTTTCAGTCCTCCCTCCTAGCCCAGGTTCTTGGCCCTGCCACAGGGCAATGCAGCCTGATGCAAGTAGTGAGAGTGAAAGTAAAATAATACCGTAGGCCAGAACCCTTTAGGAACCAGATCCCGTTAAGAGAACAGATCCCCAGATCCCTTTAAGAAGAGCCAGGGGCAGGCTCAGTGAAGCTGTGCGCAATTTAAACCATGCTGGGTTTTGATTTTGGTTTAGTGATGCCGACATATGTCAGCAGGGAGTCTGGGGCATCAGCAAAGCCTGTTCCGATTTCCTTGGGTGCAATCCTTCAGCAGCTCTTGGCATCTCCAGTGCATCATGTGCTTTCCCCTGCCTGCTGGTGGTCCGGGAGGGAGCCAGCCCCCTCTGGGAGCTGGGTCTGGAGCATCCTGGTGCCCTCCACCCCCGTTATACAGTCCTAGAGGTGTGCGGCTGGCAGGGACCTGCAGAGGTCACATCTAGTCCAACCTCTGCCTGAGGCAGGATCAGCCCTGTCCAAATCAGCATCTAAACCCTACATAAGACTGCCCTCAGCCCTGACACAGCACAGACCTCACACCTGACCCTGCCACAGGTGAGGCAAGGGAGCCACAGAAGCCAACGTCCTGCTTATATCAGATGTTGTCAATATATGTTCAAGAGGTCCTGGTTAAAGAGCCATGCTGCCCGCTACAAAGGAAGACAGTCTGACCATGAGGGAAAATTCCTGCCTGACCCCAAATATAGGGCCTGACCCCAGGTGGAGGGGCAGGAACCTCCGCCTTTGCTCCCAGCAGAAGAATCGGCACACCCCAGTTAAAGTCCTCAGCCTTAGCTGTAACCAACAGACACCCAGTGCCTCTGGGGAGGCTTAAAAACACCCTGAAACATATAGCAGGAAAAGGCAGGGGTGGGAGCAACCATCAAAGCCCAGAAGCCTGTGAAATACCTGTGGTAGAAAATAGGCATTGCTACACCTAGATCATCCCTGCTCAGTGCCTGTCCAACTTGTCCTTGAACAGCTTCCCTAGGCGCCTATTCCTGCTCTCGCAGTGAAGAAGTGTTTCCGGATATTCAATCTAAACTTACTTGGCTGCAACTTTAAGCCACTGGTCCACGTTTGGCTCTTGTCTCTGAACCCAGGGCAAATGCACCAAGTAGATTAGGAACAAGGGGCGGCTGTGAGAGTGTGGGGACGGGGACTGAGATGCAGTGGGGCCCTGCAAGGCATGGACTCATGTTCTGGCCAGTGACTGTGGTGGATGTACAGACACTTCCTAGGACTCAGTCATTAAGACAGGGAGGTGCCTGTAGAAAGCAGGTGGCCTCTAGCGTGGTTTCCATTGAGTCAGACCTGGCTGGGGATGCAAAGATGTCATGAAGTTGCTGGCTGATATTGCAGCACGAACACCTGGGCTTCTGGTGGGGTCTCTGTAGGTCTGCCAGCTACCAGTAAGACCTGAGCAGAGACCTGCCCTTTGGCAAAGAGAAATGTGAGTGTCAGGCCATCTTGAACTGCATGGCTAACACAGTTGCTTTAAGCCTCCAGCAGCCCTTTGTCAAGCACAGGGCAAGGTGTAATTAGCACTGGGTTGAGTATAGAAAGAAAAATGAGGTGTGGCTCAGGATTACACAGGGATTAAGAGCAGGTATTCTTTCCTCTACGTGTTACCAGGCCCAGGCCCTCCCCCCACAACAGCCAAAATGCTTCTGCTGGGGTGGATCTCTGGTTCAGGACTTGATGTCATTCATTTCAAGGAGTGTAAAGACTCAGCACCCTTGGGCCATTTCTTGGGGCCATTCTCTGTAGGGCACTTGTAGCCTGCTGCCCACTGTTGCATGATTTGGCCATCTGTCACCGAGCACATCTCTGTCCTGTCATAGACCACTGAAGGGCTTTCATCGTGTTTTATTCCAAGATCTGTAACTGCGCCTGAATGCGTTCTCTGCAGCCCTGGGAAAGACTGCATGGGGTTTGAAAAGCTGCTGTTTGGGGACCGATACCTCAAAACCCTACTCACTGACACTCACCAGTGTGCTCCGTGTCAAGCTACTTTCCCTGCCCTTGTTCCTAGTGGTCTGCGGATCCCAAGGGAAACTACATTTCAAGGTAAATTTTCCCTACGAATAATACAAGAGTGCTCATACTCGATGCCCAGACCAAGGCTGTATATACCAGAGTTTATTTGCTTAGGACTAAGCACTCAGCAGCATTCCCACCTCTGTGCACCGTTATGAAATGAGTCCATGGTCACACTTGGTTTCCTAGGTAACCTCCCCAAAGCTGCTTGGCAGGTTATGGACTGGGTAGCCCCAGAGACCAGCTGGCCTCTCCTGCACACAACTGGCCCCACAAGTCCTGCGGGGCAGTCATCGTCTCTCCTGCGGACAAGCAGAGAGCGGAAGGTTTCCGCAACAGCCCTCTTGGAAGCAGGGCAGCAATTTAAAAACAACTGGCAGAAAGTGAAAGAAAATCACTCTCCTGGAGAGGCTGGAAAGAATGACGGCAAAGGGCAAGGGGAACGACGTGGGCCCAGAACAGCGACCCTGACAGCTGAATTTCCAGCCCTTTTCTTCATCTCCTAGCCTCTCCCTGCTCAGTAAGAGCTGCCACTTGTAGATCGGAGGCACAGGGACAACTCTTTGGAAGCTTTGGACAGCTCTTTGGAAGGGCTCAGCCTTTGCGACGAGTCTGAGAAGTCTCGCGCTGGACAGTCCCCTCTGATGGGTGCTCGCTGAACCGGGTTCCTCCGGAAAAAGAAACACAGCCCTTAGCTGAGAAACCTCCCAGGTGGATCTGCCTGGAGCCCTGAAATAGCTGGTCAAGCAGTCCATGCGTAGACCTGAGTAAGAGAAGCCCGCAAGCCTGGCGCTGGGGCTTCGTCTGGAGAGGGGCAGAGGTTTCACACATGACATCAGGCCTGCTCTGTGCCTGGTCCGGCCCATCATGACTGTTGTTCTAGATTTCTCCAGATGGTATATTTTTAAATTAGAAATGGGCCAAGATCAAACCCTCCCATCCAGGGTACTGTGATGTGGAAATAAAAGGTGACTCAGTTCTCAGCCACCACCGAGGGAGGTCCTGCAGCCCACCAGCCTGTGCCAGCTTCTGCCTATTTTTGGACCAGGTTTTTGGCTGCAGTCAATCAGGGAAGCCTCACCAGCAGCAGAGCTGTGCGGTGCCAGGTAGCATTACCAGGTAGGTCCAGAGCTAGAAGCAGTGTAGCC